GGGAGAAAGGGAGAGATTTTCGACGACGAAGGATTTCATAAACCATTGATGGGACGTCTTTGCTGCGAGTGGCCCTGATCCGTTTGTTTGGTTCTTATGGGCTTTCCTTTGGCGAACGTGCACCCGCCAAGCCCTGCAGTTGATGGGGACTCTGAGGCTGGGGAAAGGCTGCGGCCAGACACTTGAGGGAGGTAGTCCCTGGCATTGGCGAGGCGGCCGAAGAAGTGATTTCACCGGAAGTGACTGAACCACCCAAGCAGTTTGTTGTTCGTCTTCCGTTTAAACATAAATGTAGATACATGTAGATACTTCGTGCAGGTTCAACAGGTTCCAATTCAACGCAGATGTTCTTGGCAGATACTCATGCGGTCGCACCTCTTACGATTGAGCCAGGGTTGACCGGTGGTGAAATTTGGAGAAAAACAACGACTGGAGACCTATTCAGCAGGTGGATGGTCGGTGATCCATTCACCCAGCTTTAGGAGAGTCATCGACCACAGTTGGCTCTCATGATTGAAGTGACTGAGGGGCCACTGCATTCACTGCGATTCACTGCGTTCCGCCACCGACTGGGTGTGCAACATGAAAGACGACCGATGATGTTCGAATGCGAACTGACTCCCTTTTTGGTCGATGCAGAATGTGAACAAATCAATGCAGACTCATTCCGGTCGAGCATGTCCAGCATGTGGATTCAGTGTTTCACCATCCAATACACACGTCCAAGATCTTCCGCGTCTGCGACTGGAAAGCCCTTTCGGCCACCGGTGCGGATGCCCCGAACCATCCCAAAAACATCTCCGTTGGTCGACGCCGATCGGGCGGATCGTCTGGGCGGTGAAGCATTTTTTTGCGGATCGTCTAGGCTCCAAATCGCGCCGAACAGGTTGGGGAACGAAACTGAAAGTCGTGTTTGGCGGGCCAAACTGAGCAACTATCTGCATCTTTTTAGTTCCAAACCATTGACACATTCACCCCAAAACCGGCACCCCAAAAGCGGCCCCTTTATGACAGACACTTCTACTCCATGCCTCACCGGCGACTCACCGGCGTGCCCGGACTGGGTCAGGTGGCTGTCCGCTGGACTTTGAACGACTTGGATCCCACGGACTGGAGAGGAGAGGTGCGACATGCGCGCGCGCCATCGGTGAATCGGTGAAGTGGTCGCGCGACGCTCGGTGTGTCCGGTCGCGTGCGCCGGAGCAGCGGGAACGACGAGGACGGGAGGACCGACCTTTCGTGGGAACGACGCGTCGGGAACGTCGTTGTCTGAAACGTTGGAGGCGGTGGTCTTCTTCTCCAATGCAGATGCTCGGAATGATGTCTTCAAAGCGGCCAAGGGCCTGACGGAGAGACGCTGCGTTTCGGGTGGGTTGGTCGGGTTCAAGACAACGACCGAGGCAGAATTGATCAGTCTGATAAAGAGCTCAAAGCGAGCTACCAGCTACCAGCTAGCATTGTGTTTTTGTTTGCAATTTCCCTCGGAATTGAAGAGAATTTATTCATATTTCTTCACTTAATCTCTAAGTCTAATTCTCAGAGTGTGGCCCTGGGAAGATCCGAAACGAACCTCGCACGACCGAGCGACCTCGTGAAAGCGCCGCCGTACCGTACTGGCTCCAGGATGTGCATGTGCAATGGGAAGACGCGCCCAATGCCCCGCCGCTGGGCGCCTTCTTGTCCGAGCAGGTGCGAGAGACGGAGCCGGTCGCATGGACCTATCCGCTATGTGGTCATTCGTGTGGTCAGAACCTGGAGTGAGTCTCTGAAGTGATCATGTTCTTCAGTCATAGTGAGTGGTGGTTTTTCTCATCTTTTGTTCCAAACCGGTCACCGAAGATGTCGAACTTCAGAGTAGCATCGTCCTTCGGATCCATCGGACCGGGACCATCCTTCGGTCGACCATCCGGGACCTGCATGCTTCATGCGTAAGATGTTCATGCTTTCTGATTGTTCAGAAATCGGTTTGGTGTGCTGACCCACCATTCTTTGATCCTAATCATGAACACAGTAGATCGACTTAAGGAGATATGCCAATCCAGGCAGGGGTACCCTAACCTGAGAATGGCAAGGAGAGGTCCAGTTATGTTCCCAAGTGTTCCAATTTCCCTCGACATGTTCCTCCTTCCATATTGCCAGCCGCTCCTCGTTGACGAGGTCCCGGACGTCTGTTTGAAGGCATCACATGCACATCACACGACCAGCGCCACGACTCGACTTGATCGAACAACGGGCGACCAGAGGCCTTGATTGAGGCCTTCTCGAGATTTGGTTTGGGAGCTCGAGTAAGCAGCGTAGCGAGCCACGTTTCGTGGCCGCCGAGGTCGGGGTCTTTCTTTTTCTGACCGGTGGAATTGTTGGGATGAAGAACAACTCAAGACTTGTTGGTTTGCAATGTGGCCAACCCCCCACCCAGATTGAATGATCAAGAGGCTGTTTGTTGAGATCTGCACAGATCTTTCATGATCTTTGACGCGGAAGGCATGTTTTCATTTTCTTTAAGCCTGTCCTCATAGACTCATAGATACTCATAGCTCTTGCTCTTTGTTACTAGTAGCTTCTTGTTACTATAGTAGCGATGCCAGGAGCTACTAGTAGCTTCTTGCTCCGTTCGTAGCGATGTCCTTTGTTACTACTTGCTTCCCTCTACGGCAGGTCCCCTTTTTTTGTTTCTCCTGAGGCATGGTGGTGTGTGCACGGATCCCTCGGCGGCCGACCACACAGGCGTTTGGGGTGGGGCCAAGATGGGTAGGGGCTTGGAGATCCACGTGAAAACTGCTTCACCTGCTTAACCTGGCACTTTTTTCCATCTGAAGGGATCCACCCGAAAAAAAAAGCTGATGGTACTTGCAAGAGGGCACACAGGATGTGCCCTCTTGCTCGGGCGATGGTGAAGAGGTGAAAAGGTCTAGGTTGATGCGTGATCCAAATCAAATCCACTTAGACACGTGCAGGCACACAAGAGACACACTTTCCACTTTCAAGCACGCTGCATACTCCCACATGCTCATCAAGTAGGTCTACTCAATTATGAAATCACCTGACAGGTTGTCATGTGCCACCGTGTCCGCATTTGGCGATGCTGTCGACAGCATCTGTCCGATGCGGAGGAGCCACAGTCCTTTGCCTTTGTCTCGTACCTGGATCCGGAGGAGAGCCCGCCCAACTGCGGTCATCCCATGCCCGCCCCCCGATTCTTTTCCGAGAGAAATCCGCAAGGAGCCGTATAGATTTTAAGGCCCGCGAACGATCGGCCTGTGGTTTCAGATCTCGCACCTTGGAGGACGGTGGTGGTCGTTGTTTGGGTTTTGAAAACCGGTGGGGGAAGCGAAGTACGGACCCCTTCTGGTCCCATAGTGGAGGAAGAAATCCGATTTATACCACCTCCAAACATGAGCACGAAAGGAACAGAGTAGGGAATGTGACGACCGTCGATAGCAAGGAGCCCAAAACGACGATGCATCGATCGAGAGATGTGAAGACTCAGTCGTTTTGGGAAGACTCGTTGCATCGATCGAGTCTCATTGGATTCGTTCGGGGACGCCAATCGAGGATGCCCATCGAGTCTCGAAGCTGCCTTCGGTGGAGGCGGGAGACATCTCCCTGCCGGGTTGGGTATAGTGACGGTTGACCGGCATCGTTGGTTTTGCGGCGTTTTTGGGTTTTTTGAAGGGATGCCTGTAGCCCTTGAGACAGGGGATGGACATGGGGCAAATGAGCTGTTCAGTTGCCTCAAGGCTTCACTGGTACCAGGGAACAAAGAGGAAGCAGGCACCAAAATGATCCAAAAGTCAGTAGATAGAAACGACACGACATGAAAGGAAGTCCAATCCATCGCTTCTCAGGAATCTACTTTTCTATTGTACGGGTATCCACGTTTAGGCAGAAACCAAGGAACTTGCAATTGCTTTTCATATTCCTGACCTTTGCAACCTCTGCCTCACCGGGCTTGACCATTGGACACTGCTCCAGCAGTGGCTGGCCATGCATGATCATGCATGTGTAGTCAGACAAAAGATAGAGGCCTCTATGTGGCAGTCATAAATAACTATATATATATATGTATATATATATATATGTGGTTCAGGAGGCAAGCAGATTTTTCTGGGTCGCCTCTAAGAGCCACCAGTGGTGGCTCCAGCCAATCAAGATCCCGACATGCTATCCAGTTCCTGTGCTACAGGTCGAAGAAACACATTTCAAGTGGCCTTTCCCCCGTCAGCCCATGAACGCGAAGAACAGTGAAGATCCGGACACCATGTCGCCCAAACGAAGCCGTCGCGCCAAAAACCTGACCACACGAAGCACCGCGTGTCGAAGTCGTGGCGTCGCGTTTTGATGACGGCCAGGTGCCAATCACTCCGACTTGGGAGTTGGAGTTGAGACCAAGGTGAGGAGACGTGTGGTGTGGAGTGTTCTGTGGGAAGGACGCCGCGCCTTTCTTTTTTTAGTTTTGGACATTGATTGTGGTGTCCTCAAATTAGATAATTTGTGTTTCTTCTTTCATCTCTATGTTGCTTTGTGTATCTTTGTGTTTGGTGTTGTTTTGAGTTTTGAGGTTCGGTTTCAGCTTTGGCAAGAGAGTTTTGGAACCCTCTGTTGACACAGAATCGGAGGTTGCTGGGTCTTCAAATCTTCCAAGTGTTCTTTTCGTGACTCTGACAGGACTTGAGGGTCTCGATGGTTTCTCGGGGGTTCTTGGTGAGGCTGGCCAAGTATGGCAACAGCAACGACAAGCGTGTGTGTGGCCTCAGCCGGGAAGGGGGAGATGAGATCATTCAACGAGTGCGCCATGATCAAACGGTGGACATAGCTTGAAAAAGCCGATTAGAACCCAACAGTGTCCGACCATTTTTACTGATTTACTGGATGGTAGAATTCTCGTGTGGCTGAAACAGCCACCCATAAAGCAGGTCTCTTTGTCGCATCTTCCGCATGCACTTCTGCAGACCTGGCAGGCTCAAGTCTGTTGATTTGCCTGAAGTACCCCAGACCTGCCAATGAAAGGAGCCCTCAGCACTGTGCCCCACCCACCACCTGGCCCACGCCCGGAGGTGCGGCGCCCACGCGCAGGGAGCGGCGACTCGGGCAGTGACTCGGAACTCCTCAGCCCGAGCAGATCGGGGGAGCTCTCTGATCGTTCGCGGGACGTGCGCGACGTGCGGGATGTGCGGGCAGAAGCATCGCACGTTGCAGCGACGTTGCAGCGGGTGCGTCGGTTGCCCATGATCTCTGAGGCTTGACTGTTGAAAGGACCAGAGGGAGTGATGGGATGTGATGGGAATCAAATCAATCGAGCTCAGCTTGCGAGGGTTCCAGGTCTCATGCCTCGAGGATCCTCGAGGTAAGTCTTCTGGGCCGAGAGACTTGTGGACCAAATGCTCGGCATTCACCTTTGCACTTGCACCAAAGCTAGGCTATCTCACCTAATCTCGACGTAGGATTGATAAATGCCCCCCCTTCAAGGTCAACAAGGTCAACAAGGTTTTAGATTTGCGGTATTGAGGAGGACATCCCCGTAATAAAGGTGATGACCTGATGATGGATGATGAGATGAGGACCTGGACCGGGACATGAGGAGATGAGAGTTTGAACCATGAGAACCATGAGAGCTCTGAGTGTAGTGGCACAAGTTTGATAAGAGATCTGATAGAATTGATCAGAGAGCCATGCCAATTGGATCAGAATTACAAATAAATACAGTAAACCATCATTTTTTGGGGGGGGTGGCAGCTGGGATTGATTAATAAGGGGAGGTTTCTGCCCAGGAAAAATATATTAGGGGGATGCCCAGGTGGAAATCTAGGTTTTTAATTAGTTTAGTATTGGGGGGGGGTCGAGCTGGGATTGATTCATAGGGGGTGGTTACTTAATCCTATGTCAACATTACAGATTCTCCCTGATGCTTCACTGATGCTTCTCTACTGACAGACTTGGGAGATCGGAGTTGATGTCGAAACTATGTGTGTCCCGCTACGACTTCTTCGAGCCACATGAAGAAACGCGGTCGAGGGTCACCATGTGCTTTCCTGCTGAAAGCTATAGGGTTATGAAAAAAAAGCTATTGCTATCTCTGGAGTGTTCAAAAATAAATATGTTTAGGAAAAAATAGGAATAAAATAGGACCCCAAAATAGGAATAAAATAGGGCTGACAACACAAAATAGGAATAAAATAGGGCTGACAACAAGAACAACCGTGAAATTGGAAGCAAATAGGATCGAATATTTCAGATTTACCGGAAGGCAGGTGGCTCATTCCGATCAGACGCATGGTCAGACATGGTCAGACACAAGTGAATGAAGCGGCCACTGGGGCGGGGTCCACCAGACCTAGGTCCACTGGGGCCAGGTCCACCGGGGCTAGGCCTAGGTCCACTGGGGCTAGGTCCGCGAGACCTAGGTCCACGGAGGGCTATTTTTCCTAATTTTTTCCTATTTTTTTTTTGGGGGGTATTTTTTCATATTTTTTACTATTTTTCCTAATTTTGACTATGTTTTCCTATTTTTCCTTTTTTTCCAATTTTTTTTCAAAAAATAGGACAAATTAGGAAAAATAGGAATAATAGGAATTGAAAATAGGAAAAAATAGGACGATTTTCGCACCCCCCCAAAAAATAGGAAAAAAATAAAAAAAAAATTAGGAAAAATAGGCCAGGTCCACCGGGGCTAGGCCTAGGTCCACTGGGGCTAGCGCTAGACCTAGGTCCACCGGGGCTAGGCCTAGGTACCCTGGGGCTAGGTCCGCCAGACCTGGGTCCACCGGGGCTAGGTCCATTTTATGTTCCTGTCCTAGAGTGCTGCCATTCTTTTCCTTTTTTTCCTTTCCTATGTCTAAATCCAGCTCTTTTCTTTTCCTATTTTTGAGACTCATCCTCTTTGTGTCCTTTTTTTTTCCTATTTTCAGTTCCTATTTTTTCCTATTTTATTCCTATTATTTTCCTAAAATAACTATTTTAAGGTTTTTCAGACATAGCAGGCAGCTTTATGTCATAACTATAGGGGTTCTTGCTTCTCAATGACCGGGTGGCTGATCGGCGTTTTGTTTGCTGCTGCCGCCTTGTTGCCTTACTTGTCTCCCCACTTTCTGCCTGTGTGAAAGGGGCGTTTTGTTTGCTGCTGCCTTGTCTCCTTGGGCTGCTATCCGGGCTCTTTCCTCTTTGCTTCTGTTCCTTAAAGCAATCATCTCTAGACTTCCTTTAGAGTCTAAAGAGAGGCTGGAACTCTGTTCGCTTTTCACAACTCTTGACTGGAATCTGGGTCTGGGGTGATCACCAGTCCAAGGAAGAGGACAAGAAACCATCCTTAGAGAAGTTGGTGGAAGAGCGTGACTTGCAGCGGCAACGACGATTCAAGTTCCATGGCCACGCCTTGCAGTGGAGTCGCCAATCCGAACTCATGCAGCAATTTGACGTGGACGAATATGCTGCCTTCTTTGATGGTGACTTGTCAGAGCCGACAGGTCAGACCGGCATGGAGTTGTTACGGGGTTGGGTCTTACAATCCATGGCAAGCAAACCATGGCAAGCAATAGAAAGTGAGGTCCATCTCCCCAGAAACCTGACATTTTGCATTTGAAACTGTACAATGAAAACCACTTTAAACCTCCTTCAAAGAGGTTCTTGGCAAAACGATGCAAAAAGTAGCTTGGGTAGCTTGCATTCCCAACTCATACTCTATTTCCTACAGCCGACCCTGGGCCTATGCATGGCATGGGGAATAGACAACTCCCTTCACCCACAACGAATGGATGGGTCTACGCGAAGCTAGCGTCCGATCGCTCCGGACTCGATGCCGCGATGCCAGCGCCCGAACGGAGAGATGACATGGATGGAACGACCCTTCCACTTCGGTGCCGACCCTTCGGATCCAGCTGGTCGGAACCGACCCGACCGTCCAGGTGACCACTGAGATCACATGAGATGCACTGAGACCAGGGCGTCTCAGTCCTGTTTAGTCCTGCACAGTGGGCAGCCAGCCCGTCTCTTTGAGTCTTTGACTGAGGTTTGTCGTCAGGTGGTGGACTCATACAGTAGTTTTGTGGTCCGGGAAGGTTCGCGGACCTATAGGAGGGTGCACTCTGAATTCGTTTGAACATTTGCCTCGAGCTGTAATACAGCCGTCGTGGAGGCTTGTCAGGCCCATTTGTTGCCATTGCCCAAGTGAGTGCAACTGCTGCTGGGACAGGTTGTTTCAAGTCACAGGCCAGACATGGCCAAGATTCAGCAGGTTGTGCGTTGCGCCACTTGACGTTCCAGGACAGTGGCTGTGGCCGACAGCATTCTAGGAAGGACAGGCTTGAGCATGATGTCATTAACGCGCCGTTGATGTCGAGGTGAAATTGCAGCGTCTTCTCATTCCTTTGGAGGCTGCTGGCTTTGCCGGAGACATCATTTGGCCACTAGCCGCCTCAAGGTGTTTGTGGCCGCTTTGCGCGTGGCATCAACCCATTACATCCCATCTCATTCCGCTTCGCTGCTAGTGTTGCCGGGTGGCATCGTCCGCATGCACCATTCCCGAGCCAGCTCAAAGTGAATGCCGGGATCCAGGTCATCGGCACATGTGCCCGAGCAAGCGAACAAAAAAGGCGAGTCCAGGCCGGTGGTGGCGTCGTAAGTCACATCACATGACCGTCTGGGCAAAAACAAGATCCTTTTGAGACTGGCAGAAAGTAGTGGAAAGGTGTTGGTAGAAAGATGAAAGCAGTGACAGCAACCAATAGGGTTTGACATCACGGTCCAATTGCCTGAAAAAAAAGGGTCTTTTGGAGGTTGATTGAGGACTGGACTCTTGACGCCTTGAGAAATGCATTCACCACAAGACGGGGTTTTCACGGTGCATTGTTGCACACCCCACGCTTCAAAGTCCACGCTTCAAAGGAGGCGCCCTTCTGCCACCCTTTGCTTGTACTTTGCATGGACAGTTTGTGCACAGGCGGTCCAGATATTCCCAGTGTTGGGTGACTGACTCCGAGAGTAGGCTGACTCCGAGAAGCTCCGTGACGACTCGGGGTTTAGGGTTCGAACCTCCCCATGATGTGGGCACAGCAGACGGTCTAGATGCAAACCTGAACTTCTTTGCATCCAGTCGGACGATGGATTTTTCATGTCACAGACGGGAGGAGAGCCACGCAGCGGAAGAGTTCCATGTTGACCGAATCTCCGATGTAACTATGAGGACCCACAGGAATGCCACGACCCACAGAAATACTGACACCATTTGAGACCCTTGTTCTTGGATCCTGCGAGTCAGCCACTCGCAAAGTGGAGCACAGGTCATATCACGTGTGTCACATCTACAGGCGACATACGGAGACATGTCTAGCAGTCTAGCATGCGAAGTCTAAACGTTATTGCTTGGGAGTTTGAGGTGGCTGTCAAGGCTGGCGATGAGGTGGGCTTTGATTGGATCCACCTCATGAAGAGGCCAGCTGGGGAATGATGTCAGAGATGGGGTGTGAGGCAACCCTAGCCTGTCAACATCCCCAAATGGAGATTGCAGAAGACCAGATCAAGCACAACGAGGTTTGCATGGTTTTCTATCTTTTGATTTGCCAAATGTGGGCATGCCTAAGCGTGCCTCACCAACGAAGGTTCCGGCCCCGGTAATTGTTTACAAATTGAAACAAAGTTTGTGTCCCTTCGGAACTCTTGACACAGTTTTCCCAAGTTTTAAGTATGTGCATGAGTTGGGAGTTGGGGTCGGGGTGATTGGTCAAGGGTAACTGCTACAGTACGAAAGGGACAATGTTCGTGGATTGTGCAGATTTTTGAAGACAAACATTTTGTTCACTTGAAGGATCGTTTGGTGCAGGGTGGGCGAGCCAAAGGGGATGATGTTCATTCTTTTTGCGGTGGCCTCGAAGGTGGTGTTGGTGGGTGGTACGTGGTACGTGGTACGTGGTACGTGGTAGGTCGGTGGTAGTACGTGGTAGGTTGGTGGTGGTGGTGGTGGTGGTGGTGGTTGCCTGCCGTTCCCCTGCAAGTGCCCTGAACACTTCCGGAGCCAAATCAGGTGAGCGCCTTGCGTGGCCCGAGAAACCATGCGCCCATTGGTGGGAAAAGCCGTCCGATCGCGACAAGCAGCCATGGGGTTGGTGAGACATTCCTTCCCATGCACATGTGCGTGTGTGCTTGCTTTGATTTTGCATAGCTTGAAAACTACAGTGTGTGTATGTATCTGTGCTTTTTGGGACCGACACGGAATGCAATCTTTGTCGCTTGCATCCGAGTCCCACATTTCGATGGATTCCTCATATCAGTCATGCAAGAAATCTTTTTGAACCCAACGGACCACCTGGACCACGCCAAAAGGCCCGAAAGAACTGTGCGTGGTTGAGGTTGGCCGCATCCGAAGAACAGGGTGAAGCCACGGGGGGCCCGTTGGTTGAGGTTTGCCGATCACCTACATTTGGAAGGAAAGGTGTTGGGTAACATGGAGCAGCGGATGACTGATATGTAGATGTTAACGTCCAAACCGACTGCTAGACCTGGCTCGCAGGACATATACAACAGGCCAAAAACCATGCCACAACAGGAACATCAAGCGAAGCCGATGCCCCAAAACCTCAGGATGAAATTAGCAGAGACACAAAGTCCAGGTGGTGCTCTTAGAACCTCTTATATACAGTGTGTACACATGTGAACACTGTATATACTGTATCTATATTGACTAGATTAAACACATATATAAATTTCCAAATAGTGGCCACAACTCCCCCAAAGAGGGGTCCCTGTGATGAGCGAACAACCAATTCTCAATGGCTCTTATTCTCTGCAGCAATGATAATTTTGTTGGGGTGTTCTCAAAACGGAGTAAAGGCTCCACAGCCACCACTTCCAGCCTTGACACCTTTGCATCTCCCTGGCCACGTCTCGCGGTGGCGCTTGGAACGCCATGCTGCCGGCCGCTTAGGGCCGTGCGTGTGAAGACCGAACCAACACCACGACCGAAACTCGCCTGGGCGGTCGGAGTAACACCGACCGTTTGGACCTTGGTGGTGGCGCGACCGGCGATGGGGTCGGCCCTCTAGAGGATCGGGTGGTCGAAGGCCGGGGTGGCGGACCGAATGGCTCGGCGTTCGCACTGGCCGGTTTGACACACGGGACTCAAGTCAGGTCTCTTCGGGCGGTGCTGTGGCTGCTTTTAGGCTGGGTGTGCAAGGGGACGGGATATCGTGCTTAAACTATTGTAAATGGTTATTATGACTAATTAATAAGTATATATAAATATACGCATCAAATGCCCAGCCAATTGTTTGGAAAACGGCGCAAGAACAACATGGGCCCGGTCTTCATTTCAGAGACTGTTGAGCCATACCCATACCAGAGCCACTGGATTGTATGAAGGACACGTTTGGGGTGACCGGGGTGACCTGCTGTTGGAGTGATTGCGCAGCATGGCTAGGCCAATGGAATGGAACACGAGACAGGCAAATCAACAGCAGCAGAAGCAGCGGCAGCAGCCGCAGCAGCCGCAGCAGCAATTCTCATGCCATGAGTTCGCTTGGATACCGCAGCTCTTTGACGGGCTCAAGAAGTACAGGTCCAACAATCGCAGGCAGCCACACTCTCAGAGGTGGGCTTGGAATGGATATGAGATCAACCAAGCAGCTTCATGCTGGATGAGACAGAGGTTGTTTTTTTGCCGTAGTTAATTAAATGTTTGCAAAGTTTCGGATACACTCGTCCTGGGATGATAGAATATTTTGGATAGAGGCTTAAAGCAGTGACAGCCAGTGTATGTCCAACTGTTTGTTTTGGTATATCCATATTCTATCCACTCTGGCAGGACTCGTAGGACTACATTTTTTCAATCATTTGGAAAGACCTCAGTGGGGGAGTTCGAATGGAGATTCACCTGCTAGTTCGTTGGGAGCTGTCTGTATGAAAGCAACTACTGCCTCCAACTACTGCCTGTATTAATGCTTCCCGAAGTGTTTCATTGATCATGTAGAAACCACATCCAATCCACACGGAATACATGCACATGAGGTGTCGTATGCGGTGTCTCCAAGAGTTCTAGCAGGCAAATGTTTCAGCGATATTGTACACCCCCGAAATCTTCAACCTTTTTGGAATGGTTATGCCTGAAATTCCTGCTGTGTTTTGGAACCATGACAAGATTTGTGTGGTCGAATTTACCTGAGAGCCCTTCCTGATTGCAAGAAGGAATCACTTGATGCTACTTCGCTTCCTATGCAAGACTGCCCCACCAAAAAGACATGTTCACTACCAGCTGCTTCGGCGGTGCATGGACCGGGTCACGATGGCATGCGTCCTTCAGACTAACCGATGGGATTTGGACGCCAGAACTCACATCACCACTTCCGGAGCGGACGAACCGGAGGCAGAGTGGCTGCTGGATTGTCTTCATGCGATGTGGTAGGCCGACCATCGGCCACCAGATTCGATGTCAGACTTGGAGGACGAAAGACGGGAATACTCAGGTACATACGCAGAGCATTTTTCAGGTACTCAGGCAGGAGAAATGCAGCACCCGGTTTGCAACACCTGTGAGAGTCCATATGGACTGTGCTCTGCGAAACAAACCGGCAACGAAAGGTGGGCGTTTGCTCTGCGAAACAAACTCCCGCATATGACCTCCCCCCACTTGTAAAAGGTCTCTTAGGAACATTCACAGCGAACAACTGTCCCATTTGAGCTGTTTGGGGCCATATTCTTCAAATGTCAATGTCCCATTTGTAGGAGATTAGAGGTGATGGTCATAGGAACACCATACGACAAAAAATCCAATCCCACTTGCAGAAGTTCCCAGTTCTCACCATCACTCTCCACATCTTGGCATCGGCTCGTCGGCACATGCACCGCTTGGCGTCTGGGCACGTGCCAAGCAGGTGGAACAGAGTGTGGCTCTTTCTGTTCGCTGCTCCTGGTTGGGCGGCTTCCTGGCTCCGGAAAGAGGCAAGTTCATGCAATTTCGATCACTGGGCTGGTTTTGAATTTGAGGGCTGCAGATCGGGCCTTTTGGAAACCGAGTTCCGCACTCGAACTCCGAAAGTCCCGGTTCCCCCACTCTGAAGCTTCACAACTCTCAACCATTTTTCTGCAACTGCTGTGGGTTTCAACCGCTCAGACTTCAGGGTCAAAGGTCCACCAAGGATCAGTCGGATTCGGGTCTGAATTTGGCCAAAGTGGGAGAAGTGTTGTCCCTTATAGACTTCTAGGTTTTGCAGTTGTGTGCATGCCCAGACTACAAAACTCAAAATGCCAAGTTATATGGAATGTAACTTGCAATGAAGAGCTTCAAACATTCTGGCGACCGTGGTGATCCGTTGAACTTGAGCTACCTGCCAGGCTGAGATTGCTGCCAATGGACATGCTCAGCTGATCGATGTAGAAAAGGCCTGGTGCAGCACCGCAGTCCAAGCCAGCTTGCACGGAAGATCTCAGTGTCGGCCGGAATTACTACTACTGTTCTTTAATGTTTCGTCTATCTTTTCTGGGTAGGCATCATACAGCAGGTGTTTGTTTTTTGCGGTGACACCTGTTGATTATGTTGACGGCTCCTTCTTGTGACAATCCTATTTTTGTTTCTATATTTAGCCAGTAGAGGCATCATCACCGTCACCATCATCACCACCTTCCATGTTGCAGGGTGAGACATTGGTCGTCTTTCAGTCGAGTGAAACTAGGTCCCAGTCAAGCATTTGGGACTCAAAGAACAATTGCCTTTGATTCTTGGTGCCGAGAACATCCTAGAGCCGGGCCGAGAAGCCTAGAGTGATAATGTAACTTCACCAAGATCGCCAGTTGATTTAGAGACCTGAAAATCAGGGTGTGTGCCATTTGAATCCATTTGAAATGGCACTTTGATGCATTTTGCATTGTGGTCTGAGTCGATCGGCTGGACGAGACGGACGAGACCGTGCTCTCGACCGCCAGGCACGCGCGGTGGAGGTGAATCCTGGCGGTGAAGATTCGATGGCTGAACGGCCTGTATATATGGGGTGATCGCGTGTATGTATATATATATATACATATGTGTTGTACCGCAAAAAGCCCGCGGGAAACCCCAGGCTCCAAACCAACAAGTTGAGAAGTTGCGTCATTTTCCACATGATGCCTCTGATGAGAGCCTGCTGAGACAGCATAGCACAACATGTCCAAAAGCAATTCGGGGAGAAACCGGAGCCTTATACAACACAAGATTGCTCCTCTGTCACCAGTCCACCAAATTATGTCATGTAATATAATGTGTGTCAGAGTGGTTGTTTACCACGCCTGTGGTTTCTTAACTCAGGCTCCTGTTGCCTGTTGCTTAACTCTGATTGTGCTGGGGTCTTACCCCCAACTCTATTAAGGCTCCACAATATGTCCATCCTTTACAGGATATATTTTTGGCTTGTAGCTAGGCTGGCTTCTTGCAGGCCCGGTGAGTTTTTTTGCTGATCTGATGCCAGTGCGCCACACAAGACATGTCAAGAAGAACCTGATTTTTTAGGCAGATTTACTGTACCTTAAGCAGCTCGAAAACCCCGTTCTTTTTTCTTTTTGTCAGTGGAATTTTCATTCCTGAAGCACTCAGTACCAGGATGAGAAGCAGCTGACTGTTTGCAGTCTCTCCACACCCGAGCTGCGAAGTGACCATAGGACGACTGGCAGGTGCGGCCGTAAAGACTATGGTAGGGCCATTGAGTTCACAGCACTGGTTGCGCGTTCTAGTGGCAACTGCTCCGGCGAGCCGCAGCCTGCCAGAAGGACACCAAGTGGCCATGGAGCTTCAATTAGAGAAGTGAGGGCCGCCAAAGCCCAACACGGTTAGAAGGCTTCTTGGTGATGACTGGAGGTCCAGTGCCTTGTCCTTGAAAGGCCTGGTGCAGCGCCTTCAGAAAAAGCACACGAATGTACCGAGAGCTGGCCGGCAGCAGAGACTGCCTGTGGGAGAATTGGCTGAATTCATTTCCACTCGTAGAGCTTTGCAGTGCATTCTGTCCTTTGTCTCCATGCCGCTAGGCCCGACCATCATCTCATGAATCTGCTTTGCTGTTCCATTCTTGGACTTTTTGGAGAGGGAGCCTCCTCAGATTGTTTGTGCCAGTGACTTCACCTTTGGCATTGAATGGAAGAAGTGCTCCTGGGGCATGATTTGCGGTCAGTTTCATCGAAAGCTGGCTGGTCGATGGCAACGCAGTGCCTTCCCTTTGGCATACCTATGCCACCCCCCGTGAAGACAAGAGCATCTACCAAAAAGCCTACAATCACACGCCTCCACTCAGATTGGAAACCAGAGATTCCAGGGGTTTTCCACTCCTGCGCACCGCAAGGCTACTTGGTGCAAGGCATGGAGCACAGGCTACTTGTTGCAAGGCTATTGCAAGAGAAAAGACATGATTTTCCAACAGATCCAGTGGAAGCATTTCAATTACCACGTCCTTTTTGTCCAGCTGCCCCTTGTCCGATTGCTTGCCTGATGTTGGCTTTGGCCAGGAGACCTTTACTGGTCCAGCGCCATTATGCCATGAAAAAACGGTCCTCCGTTGAGCCCGTTGGGTGGCCGGGAAGGGTCACAGGGGTCGCAGATAACAATCTCCAGCGAGTCGTGGTTGGAAACTGAGAGTGGTCATGGTTTGAGCACCGCACCGTGGTCGTAATCAAACACCCCCTCTAATGTGTGTATGTATGTCATGCGTTTTTATCATCCAAATTCACCCTACGAACGCGTCCTTTATGAGCGATAAGTGTGTCGCCGGCTCGGTTGCCTGAGGAGGGAGACCCCTTTGGATGACCAATCAGTCTGGAAGTTGCTCAATGCGGCCAGCGACCCGAAGGCGAACATCACAGGGATGGTGCAAAAGCTCAAGGGGAAGACCAAGGAGACAGCGAAGGTTGAAACCGAGAAGGTGGAAGCGCCCATCGTGGATCCCTCAGGAGCTGGGAGAGCAGAAGGACGAGACGACTTGGCCGTCTGTCAATGGCAAACAACTTGTTCCAAAGTGATTAAAATTGGAATCCAATCGATCTCTCTCTCTCTCTCTCGCGCAATATGTATATATATATATAGATAGATATTTTAACATGTTCCATCACTTTCTTCAGTTGGTTTCCCCCGCGTGGTTTCCACCTCCGCTTGGCCCCAGGAGATCCGACCCTGTCCACTCTGAGCAGTGCGCAAACCGCCTTGCTGGGC